GTGTCTGAGGGGCCGTCTGAGGGGCGAGAGCTCGGCGCCTTCGTTTAAACGCTGAACGAGTTTCTTCCAACCTCCCGGCAAAAGGGACGTGCTCGGAGGCGTAGGCGGTTTTGACAGTTCGAGTGTTGCGTGTTAATACACCGATCAAAACGCCGAGGATTTGCAGTTCAGGGCACATCTGTTCATCGCGGCAATCTTGTTAAGAGGTTAACCTTCTTATGGTTGGAGACCCTGAGTAAACACTGCAGGACTTCTCTGCCTGGCAGGATTTCTTTCCAGTATTAACCTGGTGCTGGGCCTTCACTACACAAAGATTCATGTCAGGGTCTTTCTCAGTAGACAGGCCTCAGCAGATCAGTGTTAAACCAAGTGGGACAAGAAGTGCCTCTATACTGTTTCCCAGCATCAGCGCTGGTGAACAGTAGATGCCCACAACCATGAATGCAAGGAGTTTAGATAAAAGGAGTAGAGTCATGGACCAGTCTGCTGAGCTGTTCTTGCTTCTGTGAGGTTTGGGTCAGCTTCCTGCCTGTGGACAGAAGTTCCTCTGGGCACTTCTGAGGCTAATGAGAGGTTATGTGCTGGCTGAGGGGAGCCTGGTGAGGGAGGAGGGCACCGACGTGGGCTGGCAGGGGAGCAGGAGCAGTTTCTCCTCGGTTTCTGTCCCCACTTTCCCTCCACTCTGTCCTGTCCTGTGTACTCCTCCGCCCGTGTCTTTGCAGAAGGTGCACGTGCTGCCCCAGACCGTGCTCTACATCGCTGATGCAGAGACCTTCAGTGGGCATGAGGAGTGTCACGAGCAAAAGAAAGGTAAAGGCTGGACCTAACTCACTTCCATTTAAAGATAGACTGGGCTGTAAGCAGAGCACAGTCAGCTGAGGGGGAATTCTCTGTGGTTTGATTTCAGTGGACAGGAAATGTTTTGCAGAAGCCATGACTGCGTGGTATTGCATTTGTGGTAGGGAGCAGCTCACAGAATCTTGTTAATGCACACAGATGGGTTCCTTTCCCTTCTGAGGAGGACGCTGAGTGTGTTTGCCTGCCGGCAGCCCTGTGCTCTCAGGGAGCAGCACAGAGCAGCGTGCTGTTAACCAGGGCGGCCGCTGATAGGCAGCATTGGTTAAACAGGACGGGGTTGGCTGTGGGATTTGCTCAGAGTACACTTTTACTGCTCTCTGATGGGTTTTTTGTTGTTGTTTGTCTCTTCTCATTTTAACAGCCAGAAAAAGAAACAGTAAAGAAACAGCTCTCGCACTTGAAAAGTTGTTGCCAAAGCGATGTCAGGTTCTTGGACTGGTCACCCCAGGGATTGTAGGTAGGAGCAAAATGGGTGGGTTTTGAGAGGTCAGCTTGAAGGTGTCATCTCCATTGTTCAGCACTGGCTTCAATTTTAAGGAGTTAAGTGTTGCTGCTAATTGTTGTGGAACTTACTTCATGTATTGCAGTTATAATTAAAAGGGTTGATTTAATTGGGCAGGCAGCTTTCCCGGGCACGTTAATGCACATATTGAATGTTGCTTGGATTTATGGATACATTTCAGTCATATTTTGACTAACTGTAGATGGCATCCTGGTATATACCTATGTGTAATGGTCTAGCAGGAGGCATCTGCAGTAACTGGAAAATTCACAGCCTCCTGTGGCAGGCTTTTTCTCATGCTTCACTTTTATCATTAGAAACTTGGTTTTTTATAGTTTCTCACCTTAAATTCACTTTCCACATTATAAGTAAGGTATTTGATTGTTGTCATTACCATATTTTAATAGTACACTCCCAGTTTTTGTGCCAGTTTTGCTTTATACTGTTATCACATGCTTATAGGACACCTTAAAAACTTGAGTATGTCTATGTGCCTGCAGAAGTTGGCAGGAAGGCTTGTATTGCACTGGTCTTGTTTTCTTAATGTTTTATATTTGATGTGCTTTGGGAGATATGTGTAAATATATCCATGTCAAAACTGACTTCAGTGGGATCGATAGCCAGCAGGACTTAGACATTTCATCTTTCCAAAACATTAACAAAAAAGTCACAGGTTTTTTTAGGTAAGTTGTTATAGAAATAGATTGTCCTGCTGAATATCACCTGAGCTGTTCAACCTCTTTCTGCCTGTGTCATGTAAATGAATGTATTAGAGTCTCTGAACACAAGATGCTTGGTTTTGTCTCTGTAGTTACCCCAATGGGTTCAAGCAGCAATCAGCCTCAAGAAATTGAAGAGGGCGAAGCTGGGTTTGCTCTGTTGTTTCCCAAAATTGATGGGGTGAAAATTCACACCTTCCATTTCTCTAAAGACGTGAAGAACAGGGTCTTTGATGAAAGCAAGTTTGCTGAAGCAGGTATGTCATTTTTCTCTCCTTTATGTGGGCTTCTGTGAGATGCTGCTCTCTGAGGTGCCACTGGAGTTCTGAGTAGAACCAGCAGCTTCTGGCTCCAGGAGCCTCTGTGGGGCTGCAGCTGGTGACTGCATTTCTGCTCCTCCCAGTCCCTGGAGCAGTAAGGAGAAGTTATCCATATATATAAGGAGGAGTAAGGAGGAGAGTATCAGTTTCCAGTTCCTTCAGTTACATTTGAAGTGGAGCTGTTCAGAGGGAGGTGTGATGTAATATTTGAGGAGAAGCTAGGATGGTTAAACTTCAGAGTTCAGGATTTAAAAATAAGGGGATCAGTGTTGGCTTTTGTTTGTAGGTCTGAAGAATAACCCAGATCTCCGTGTTGTTCTTCTGTTTGGCTACAACTCCTGGAAGACTGGAGCTACTCGATTTCTTCATCAAATAGTCAATCCATTGAATGAGAAAAGTATCATCCTGGCTGGAGGACAAGTGGAGAGCTTTACATCACTGACCTCTGAGAAGTAGGTATTTTTTTCAAGGTAAATGATGAAAATGATTTAATGTGAGAAAAACATTGCAGATCCACAGCCTTCTAGTTATATTGAAAATCCCCTTTACCAATAGTAAAATAACAGTTCCTTAAAGGGAAAAATGCCACAACTGCTACACTGTGATGTTGCCAGAAAAGCTGGAAGCTTGGTATGGCTGTGTTACGATTTGGATTCTGGAAACCCAGCTAGGAGAAACCCAATGAAAAGGTGATTTTTAGCTTCAGATACCTTTTAGTGTTTATGGCAGTCAGGATTTCATCTCTGGAGTGCAGGTGAATGAGTGCCTGTTGTGACAGAGCTTGGGATGTGAACGTGTGTGTGTGTGTTTGTGCCTCAGTTTGGCTCACAGCACGGAGCAGGAGCTGCACACACAGCAAGGCTGTGCCCCAGGAGCTCACCTGAGCTGCCCTGGCTGCTGAAGGAATGGCATTCCGTCCTGTGGAGCACGGTGCAGCCATGGCTCCTCTCGTCCCACTGTGGGTCTGGAGTCCCTACTAATATCCATGTTCTCCTTGCCTCTGATTTGCCAGCTGCACCATTGCCCCAGATAAAAGAGCTGACCTTAAGTAAAGTCACTGCAGATAAAGGTTAAGTATGTAACTACTTGACCCCGTGTGTTCTGGCCAACCAATTTAAAGCAACATGAATCCAAAACCTTTACTGACTGCTGCCCTGCCTTACTGTATAAATCCTCAGTGCCTTTGCTTGTCCTAAGTTTAACTGATGTTTTAGTTGAATTGCAGAGCTGTGACACACACAAACTACTGAGTGAATGAGTGAAACAAATTTATGGTTAATACCTAGAAATGGATATGGAAGTTTTTCTTTGTGAAAGGTTGCTACACAAAAACATGGCTAAAATATGAAGTCTTTGGTTTGTTTTTTAACTTTGGTAGGTATCAGAATCACTGCAATGTCAGCTGCTTTGAAGCTAGGTCAGCAGCAGCAGCAGTTCAGTCTGGTGAGCAGTGATCCCCCAGAATGCTCTAACTCGGTGCCGTTGCCTTGCAGTGCCCACGCCCAGCCCGGGGACGCCTGCGGTGTGGTTGGGTTGGCTTTCAGCGGCCCCCAGATCCAGAGTGCCACTGTCCTGCTGGACCAGGACGTGGCTGATGAGAGGACGGCAGAGGCGGCCATGCAGCGTCTCAAAGCAGCCAACATCCCCGAGCACAACACCATTGGCTTCATGTTTGCCTGTGTTGGCAGAGGATACCGGCATTACAAAACCAAAAGGAATATGGAAGCAGATGCATTCAGGAAGTTTTTTCCAAATGTGCCCCTCTTTGGCTTTTTCGGACATGGGGAAATAGGATGTGATCGAATAGTTACTGGGAATTTCGTGTTAAGAGAATGTAATGACATAAAGGATGACCTGCTTCATGGTTATACTACTGTAATGACTCTAATTCACCTTGGTTCAACTAAAGCAAACCAAGCATAAGTAAGGTTTAATGCTTCAGTGAGCTGTTTGTTTCATTCCAGAGAGCTGAGAAGTCTGGAAGAGTGGACATCTTGCAGTCAAAGCCCCTTCCAAAACATAAACATCATTTTGGTAATGTTACTGAGTCTTGTAGTTGCAATAGAGTTTACTGTAATATCTGTGAGAAAACCTTGCATTTTTTGTAATCCCCTGTACACATCAGAATTGCAGGAAATTATATTTGATGGAATTCTGCATTTGAAGAAAGCCTCTTTCTTCCAAAATGAAAATGGTTTCTACAAATTGTAGAATACGCTGAATTGGAAGGGACCCATCAGGATCGTTGAGTCCAACTGCTGGCCCTGAACAGGACACCCCAGGAATCCCACCCAGTGCCTGAGAGTGTTGTCCAAACTCTTGTTGAGCTCAGGCAGGGCTTGGTGCTGTGGCCGCTTTCCTGGGGAGCCTGTTCCAGTGTCCAGCCACTCTGGGTGAAAAACTTTTCCTGATATCCAACCTAAACCTCTCTGACTCAGCTTCATGCCACTTCCTCGAGTTCTGGCACTGGGCATGAGAGTGAGGAGATACTGATGACCACAATGAGGACTCCCCTCAGTCTCCTCCAGGCTGAGCAAACCAAGTGTTGTCAGCCACTCCTCATAAGGCTTCCCCTCCAGATCCTTCACTTCCTCATGGCATTCCTCTGGACCCCCTCTAAACTTGATGTCTTTTTTATACAGAGGTGCCCCCAGCACTGGAGACTGCCCCAGAGCCTGGCCTGGCTGGCGGTGCTGGGCTGATGCCCCAGGACATGATTGGCCCTCCTGGCTGCCAGGGCAGGGCTGGCTCAGAGCCAGCTTGGCACTGACCCCAGCTCCCTTCCCAGAGCTGCCCTCCACCCTCCTGCTCCCCAGTCCCTACACACAACCAGGGCTGCCCTGTCCCAGGTGCAGAATCCAGCACTTGCCATTGTTACATTTCATAGGGTTGGTGATTGCCCTTTGTCAGTGTCTCTGCAGGGCCTCTGTCCTTGAGAGAGTTGACAGCTCCTCCCAGTTTAGTGTCAGTGGCAAACCCAAACCCAAATGTAGAAAGAAACTACTTTGATGTGCTCTATTTATGCATAAAGCACTCTAGAAAAACTACTGATGCATTAAATCTACCATTTCCTGGATTTTATTTCTAGAGAGATGCAGAACTTCCCCAGAGTCCTTTACTGTTCAGTTTACAAAACTGAAGTTTTACTAGATAAAATAAATGAAAATCTTTAGAGAAAAGTAACAAAGTACTTGTTAAATAAAGATAGAAGTATGTCAAAGTACCTTGCCTTCTATTCTTAGAGAAAAATCTCTTATTTAAAGATGTCCAGCTAAAATTTCAGCTGGGCTCACCACCTTGAACTGAATTTCAGTTACTCAACTGTGTGACTCAAAATACAATGGTTGCCTCTTCTCCTGTAGTGTGATTGCTATCTTTTAAATCCAGAGTGCTTAGAAAAATGTCTATCTGTCTTTGAGTTTCTATAGGAATTTTTTTGCACTTAATTTTGGAATTGTGGGACACACAAGATCTGACTATATTATATTTACATAGAGACTTTAAGTAAGACTTGTGCTCCTGCATGTTTTTCCCATGCTTTTACATCAGTCACCTGTTTTGATTGCTGCAGCTGGCATGCAGTACCAAGTAAGTAAAGTCAGCATAGTCTCAGTATAGCTAATAATATATTTGCTGCTTTTTAAATTCTTTCCTCCCTTTTATTTTCACATAGTAATAGAATGACAAGAAAATAAGTTTGATTTTGCACCATAGCACCAGATTTCTAAATGCTAAATCAAGCAGCTGGCCCATTTTCAGTGTAGTAAAAAGAAAATACCTGTATGTTGTACAACAAAGTAACAAGTTTTGCTTTAAATGTACCAAGGAAGATTTCAGTTACCAACTTTATTCCCATGTCTAGTTACAACTTTTCCTGAACTTGGCCTAGCAAGCTTTAGTAGGGGTGTATCTGTCCTGAGCATTACCTGTTGGTGTCAGTTGAGCACAGACAGCACTTCCCCATGGCTGTACTGATGATGGGGTTTTTAATTAGAAGACACTGTGAGCTGTGAACTCCCAGTGGCCATCTGTGGATGGAAGATTAGTAAGTGTGGGTGTGACTTGGACAACATTTAGTTATTTCATTTAGAGGGAAACATATCTGGAAGTAGAGTATGGTTCAATTTTCAGAGAAGCCCCTTGCTGGGATGTGACTGTGTTATTTTACATAACCAGAATGTCACATTTGGCCCTTTGTGTGTGCATAACCTTCATGTTTAACTGGACAGAAAGGAAATGTTTCATTTCTGTACTGCAGCTAGGATTCCTGGTGCTGCCAGCCATGCTGAGCAGCCTGGGAGGGGTGACTGGTGCTGTGTTAGAGCAGTGGAAGGGTGATCAGCCACGTGTCCTCAATAGAGACTGCCACAAGGGCAGGGAATGATGCTGAGCTAATGGCCCTGCTAAACCAGAAGCACCAGAGTGCTCTGCAGGGACACTCAGCAGGTCCTGCAGCTGAGGAAGCTTCAGAGATAAACATAGTGCAGAAAAGGGGGTGGAAGGTGGAGGGGTCTGCATCAGAGTCCAGGAATCCTCTCCAGCATCAAGAAGTGTGAGATGAATATCCTGGAGCCCTGCACATAGCTGGAACCACTGGAATGTCTGTCCCAGGCCACACCATGTGACAGGGAAATGGTTTAAGTGATAAAATTGCAACATCTGTGATTAAAGTGTTTTGCTGTCCAGATTCATTTTGCCTCCATGCTGTTATTTGCTCTTCAACCACAACAACTCCTGAGAGAACCCCAAATATATTTACTTACCAGATGCATGTACCAGAAGGCAGAGATAATTGATAGAAAGTTTTGCAGTGCCAAAATTTATATTTCTGTCTCTCAAAAGAAGCCAGCATGAGGTTTTAAAATGGGTAAAGTTACTTAAATGAGTATTCAGCTGTTGAGGCCAATGTAAATAGCAGGACTACTCAAAAGATTTTCTCTACACCTGTGTTCTTATACATCTTCAGATTGTTTCTTTCGGAGATAAGAAATCTCTGTTCTGAATTTTCTCTCCTTTCAATTAATGAATTTTCTCAGCTAATCTTCCCTTCAATACAACCTTGTAAGTCCCATATAATGACCTGCTTGGTAATGTGCCATTATGGGAACATGTCTGAGTTTTTGCTGGTTTCTGCCTCCAGTGCTAGAAATAAGTTGAAAAAAAACCTTGTTCAGTTCACATTTTCTATGCCTCTGACTAACCAGACATTCTCTTTGTGTTTTGAAGGCAAAAAAAAAAAAGACATGGACCATGGCAGATGGCCTCTTTTTGTCTGAGTAAGAGAATCCTGTAAGAGACCAAAGTGTGGTATATAATATATCAGTGTGATCAACAGATGCTTATGTGAACAAAAGAAATAAATCTTTGGAGAAGGGCAGCATTTCTTTCAGCCAAGATACCTGTCTCAAGAATAGTTTGTGTCAAAAATTGACCTGACGAACAAAATTCCTGATTTCTGCTATCTGAAATGTCAACTGGAATATTCAAGGTAAATTTTGAATTTCCCTCAGTAGTGAGATTTTCAGAAGAAAGCCAGACAAAATTAAAAACCATCAAGGTAGATTGATGTTAGTCTTGTTTAGTATTACAAATGTACACCAAACTCTGCCTAAAAAACTTTAACCATTACCAATCTCTTTTCTTAATATTTCCCTTTAATTCTAATTAAAATAGTGTGCCAGGAACCTGGGCAATAAACTCCCAATGGTACCTCCTGCTGATGTTCTGTTACAATTAAAAAATAAATAAATAAAAGTAAGTATTAGCTGGGAGAAAGGTGAGGGTTTTCCCTGTACATGTGGTAAGGGTGTCTGGAACAAGCCAAATTCAGGACATGTACCACAAATATCAATTTTGAAACTATTGAATCAAGATAGGCTTCAGCTCCTCTGGGGAAATCCTGTGAAAAATGAAAAACCCCTATCAAAAATTCATAACATCACCTCACACTAAAATCCTGTGATATCTCATATTCTCTGTGCAGTGAAAAAAAATTGTATTTTTTTTATTTCCCATGTAGTAAAACCCAAGATTATCTCATGCATCTAGGTGTGCATTACTGAAAAGCATAAAAAAATCTCACAGAATTCAAACATAAATTACAGTGATTTCTGTATAATTGACAGTTTTAAAAGTACATAGAAACTCCATTAAGTGCAACTGTTTAAGTCTTAGATGTCTTCTCCAATATGTCAGCCTCCTGTTTCAGTCAACTTTCTTCTCTCATCTTGCTTACCATGTCACCCTCTACAATTTAGATTCTTAGGGTTGCTCTGCATGTTGTTTCTCCATCATTCTTCCACTCTAATGCTTTAGGCTGTTGTTATTTCTGAAAAATAAAACGTGACTTTTAGTAACAAAAACTTCATCCCCCACTTGCCTTGTGGAGTCCGATCATTTAATTTTAAACTGTACTCACTGTTGCAGCCATTGCTGCTTGTAGTTTCAACTAGGTTGGCACCACACTCTGAAGAACTTGTCCTTGGAATGGAAACTTTCCTGACCATAAAAAACAAAAAGGAAACAACAGAGAGAGAGAGAAATACACACAGAGTGAAAAATTTATCAGGGAAGAGACAAATTAATAGAATGATTTTTCCATTGGAAAAAGTGTCATGGATCTTCTCCAATTAGTTTGTAATTAACACTCATTGCTTTTGAGAATCATGTGTTTGAGGGAGAAGAACAGATCAGAGGGCAGTACAGCATTTGGAACTACATGGCTTCTTTCCTGAAGGTAGCTGTTTGTCTCATTTCTTAGGTCTTTATTAAAAAAATTGGTAAATAGCACAGAATTATTTGTCAATTCTCTTAGTGTTTGGTAACTATGTGAAATTTTCCACATTTTGTTGAAGAGAAGCAAATCTTCTAAATGGAGCTGATCATTTGCTGTCTAGTTCCCTTTCCTTTAATAGTAATCAGCCACCTGCTCTCTTGACAAGAGTCATGAGCTATTCTCTGTTGTGTCCAGTTTGTGTCCTGTGGGGATGTAACTCCTCCACAAAGTCTGTTGTCTTGGACAGCTTAAATGGCTTTATTCCTAGACCCTGTTGTTTTGGCTGGCTGAGTTCTTGTTCATCAATATTACACTTACTTTACAGGTCATTTGGCACTTTAGCATGCACTCACAGTGAAATATAGAAATTAATTGCAGATTTATTTTGGTTTTTCCTAGTGTTTGCTCTATTCCTCTGAGCTATATGTGTGGCATTTAGGCTTATCTATTGCTTTTAAAGAAAAGCTGGCTTATGTGGCATCTCTTCTCATCACCTTTCTTATTCTTCTTCCAGTAACCCTGGCAAAATATGTTTGTGGAGGAAGAAGAGCAGATGGACGTGGTGTGATAGGTGAATTGCTGGAAGCAGAATATGCCATTTGTTCCTCAGTAGCAGTGTAATAATAGCAGGGGGTTTGTACACTTCCCTGTTTTGCCCATGTCAGAAGGACAGGAGGCTTTATCAGCACTGCTTGTTGGAGAGGGTGGGGGGTTGTTTCAAGATGGAGAGCAGCTAGATCTGTGTTTGCCCTGCCTCCATGTGCTCTGCAGACTGGAAAAAATAAATCATCAGCTGATAAAAATGTGATGACTCAGTTAAATGCAAAAGGAGAATTATTTCCCACTGTTCACCCAGAGCTTTCATGTGCAGCCCTACTCTTTTATGGATTACTTCCACTGTAAGTAATGATTTAGTTTTATAAGCAGAGCAGTGCAACCTCCACCCTTGTATGTTGAATGGATTTGTTTCTAGGGAGCACGAAATGCTCTTGCACATGCTTGGTCCTCAAATCTGCCCCAAATAGCCTGAGAGAAAGAAAACTTGGAAAGGAGGGAGGTACAATGATACAGACAAGAAAACAGAGAAAACAGAGCACTGAGTTCAATATTCCAAATGATTTGATGTATAATTTTAGGAATTCAGTTTCCTTGTCCTGAATTTAAATTAGTATCTCCTCTTCTGCACCCCTCCAGATTACATTACTGTTTATACTAAAACCCCACTAGAACCCTCTGCTGAAAGAGCCATGGAAATGCTCACTAACACAGGATCAGGGAAAGGCTTTCTGCTCTCTCATTGTGGATCAAAAGTCTTTGTTAATAAAGTGGAGCGGTGGAAACTTTAGCACAATATGTCTGTTAACATTTTAAACTTAACATATCCTGTCAGGAGGCCAAGTGAAAGATGATGCAAAATCTCAGCTAACCCTTACAAGCCCTAGCTCCACCCTCTCCTATGACAGAGGTGATAGATGAAGTTTGAGAAAAAAATGGAGATTAATGGCAGCTCTTAGCAATAATACTCATTCACTCAGCTGAAAAGAGGGGAGTAGATTAAAGTATCCACGAGACTCATCATGTGTTGGTCACTTCAGCCAAGAGATAAGGACTTAGTAAAGTGTTTCATTTATAGATGAGTTCTCTTGCAGGTGACCATCCTACATCAGCCTCTGAGGTGTAAAGGTAAGACAATTTTAGCCAGTTAGGTTCTTTTACCTGTACTAAAGAAGTTCATAATGGTTTTATGAGATTTCCCAAATTAGTCTGGTGAGTAAGATGGGGTTCAAGGACAACTATGTTATAACTGAGTTGTTGCCCTTTTTATTTTGCTAATAAAGAGGCACTACTACTTGTTCTGCCAGTCAGGTAAAGTGTGAGTAAAGAGAAGTTGATGTTCTAACTATCTAATAACAGAATTTTCACAGACCTGTCATTGCTGTCACTCTAAGCTTCTGTACTTGGACCATAAAACACAATAGATTGTCTCCAGCTTTCCCCCAATTTTACTGTATGTGAAAGAAAAGGGATCTTTAACACATTACACTCTGAAGACTTTTCCTTTTCTCAGAGACAATTTTACTTCTAAAGAAATACTGTCTGTATCTCTATGAGACTTGAATGAATTTTTCTTAAGTTAGTTTAAGCTGTATTTTGTTCTAATAAGTTTATAGTAATTTGCAAATGTTTTTAGCAAACAACTGCTGTGGCATTCCATGGCTAAGCAAAATTAATTTAATTAAAATTGCTAATGTGAGGGGTATCCTTTACAACAAGGGATTTTTTTTGTACCAACTGTTTTATCAAATGCTCTCTATCTCTTCTAAATGCATTCAGCTGTAGGAGAAGCTGGCATTCAGTGGGTTTCCATGACAGCAGCTGAGGTAAAACCAGACCAGCTATTCCAAAGGTCGCTCATTGAAAGGCACAGATCAGAAAAGTTGATTTGGCAATGTGACCATGGGAGCACAAAGAACAGAATTGCAAGAACCTTTGGTTATCATAACCTAGGAGAAATGCAGTATAGGAGCAAAGAAAATATTGTGCAAGTCTGTGATGGTAAGGAATTACAGGGGCTATAAATTGCCTTACAGAGAGACACAGAGATGCACAAACACATATTATTGGTATATGGCAAAATGAGTTCTTACAACAAGTGCTGTACTCTAAAAATAAAGAGGGGACACAGGTGCATTGCACAGGTGCAAAATAGAGAGGGCATTGCAAGTGAAGATGATGAGTTTGTTTTGGTTTGCTTTAAGTGTAGTGATATATGTACAGCATATAACAGTTGCCTCAATCCCAGTAAATCTTTGTGTTTTCATTCCAAGTCCTAATATGCCTAAAATGCTACTAAAACCAACCCTGCAGCACTTCCTGTCTAGCACTGATGTTTGCCTTCTACTCAAACCTGGATCATCCTGGACAAATGAGTGAGCTCTCTGAGTTGTCCTAAATGCTAGTAAACATCTACCTGGAAGTATTCTTCAATTTCATTCTTTCCTTAGTTTTCCTTTTTAGCCTGGGAGTGGTAGAAGAATTAGGAGCTAGTGGCACCAGCTGCTTCAGTTACCAATTCAGTAGGAGCAGTTTCTGATCCCCAAGCACTTTGTTAATTTACCTCTACTTCTCTATCTTTGGACTAATGTTTTAGAATGTTAGCACTAACTCTAGATGGACTGCAGAATCTCAGACAGGGGTGCACTATGGGTGTTTTTTACAAAGCAGCTGTAAGAGCTTAGAAATGAGAAAACTTCAAGCCAGGAGTTGGCAACAAGCAACAAGTTGAGACATCCCCATTCATTATGCTGAATAACCATACAACCTTATGGATAATTCATTACATACTTTACATTCAAATAATTAGTACATGATTACCAGAAGAAATTTCTACTTGATTGAATAGCTTCAGCCTTATGAATCACTTTTACCTGCAAAAGAAGTAGAATGCTCCAATTACAAGAACTCCTAGAAGAAGAAGGGAAGCCAAGAAAGCTGCAAACAGGTCACCTTTTGTTTGGGATTTGATGCTGGGCAGCAAAACTTCTTCACAACGAGCTCCTGTGTAATTCTCAACACACCTGGGAAACCAAGTTGTATTTGATTAGATGGTAGCTTGTCATCTACAATGAAAAGCACAAAAGGCTTCTTCTGGTAGAGAACTTGTTATGACTCAATTCAAAGGTTATATTTGCTTCACAGCAAGCTTTCTTACAGAATTTCCTCTCACCTTGTATTTCTGGAACAAAGGGGTTTAAGCATGTTGGGCATTAAGTTTACATTCTGATCCATAGTGCTTTTATAAATTAAATTTAGTATACTCATCACTGACAGATTTAATTAATTAAGCCTACTTCTTTAGTGTTAACTGTCATCCCCCTGGTTCACACACAGCAGTCATGCTTTCTTTTCCCTGTTTCAGGTAACTTCCTGGCTTCCTTTGTTGAAAATAGCAGTGTCAGCTAAAGAGATCAAGGAAATGAGAATTCACTGAGGCACAGTACAGCTCAGACTGCAGAAGTGGTTTATGCAGTGTAATAATTCATGCCAGAACATGCTACATGCTTGGTGAATAACCCCCTCTTGGAGAGACCTACCTAGAAGTCTTCTCTACTATCCTTATTTTATGTGTTGAGCTTCTGAAAACCTCTTCTGAAGAAAGGATTAAAACAAATATGGTATTTTACCATGGTAAAATGGTATGATATTTTAGTAAAAATAAATAAAATTAATGGCTTAGTAATTAATATTCAGCCAAAAATAGGTAGGTTGAAATTAAACTAATCTTCATTTATTATGTATTTTGCACTTATTCTGCTAAGTTCTCTTAAGGAATTGATTTCATTACAGAAAATGGGAAGCACTTCTTTCAATATCTAGATTCTATGTGTATTTTTTATACATGTAAATTTGCTTCTCTCTATTTGTATTACTAAAGATCTTGCTCCTTCTTGCTATTTCTGGCACTGAAGTCATAATAATCTGTGACATAAGCAATTTCAGGCTCCAGCTGAGAAAAATGGGCTAAACTCTGCAACATACTTGAAGTTCTCAACTGCCATTGGCAGCTGTAAGGTATAATTTCAGATGAGGGGTAAGAAGGTGGAGAGGGGAGGAACTGCCAAAAAAGAAGAATGTTTAGCATATCTAACTAAGACCAAAGGATCCCTGTGAGTTTTCTGACATGATGCCTGATCCCACTGCACTTTCTGTAGGTTACAGACCAGTATTTCAGTACTGCTGGCCTAAACCACTGCACAGAGTTACTACCCTTTTATTTTAATTCTTTGTCTTTGGAAATATAATAGAAGATTTAGGCACTAAAAAAAGACATCTAATTATCATCATATATTAAAGCTCTGCAACTGATCAAACAGACAGCATTTACTAAGGACAATCTGAGGCTTTTCAAAGTCATGATGTTTCACTGCTGGGAGAAGCAAGGGTAGGCAGACTGCTCTGATTGCTTGAGATAATGTTCCAGATATTTATTCTAAGTAGTGGCTTTTCAGTGGCCTATTTCTGAAATACTGTAGAATACTTTAAGAATAGAAGTGTAGTTTGAGTGGGGCATTGTTCTCTAGCAAGTGAGAGAGAAATGCTTTGAAGAGCTGAATAGAGTAACAGGGAAAGAAAATGGAATAAGAAATTCATAGGAGTATTCTTGAATAGCAGTGAAAACTGGAGAATAATGCAAGGCTAAAATGATACAGGAAGGGAAAAAATAGGTTTTGGCATCAAATTAAGGCTCATGGAAAAGTTCTAAAGTGTAAAGGGAGTAAGTCAGTAGCCTAAAGAGCAGAATGTAGCAGGAGGAAGATAAAGACAGTCACAGCTGCAGAGAGCTGCCCAGAGGATCAGGTAAAGGGTAAGGGTTACTGAACTGCTGTGCTGCAGGAGATTGAGTTGGTGTGAACAGTGCATGGGAGCTGTATTCATGTGCTGCAAAGACAGGAGGAAAAGAACTGGGGATGTGTTGACAGCACAGCAAAAGGGTCACTGAGATCACAGCACTTCCTACAAAACAGAAAACAGAGCCAGATGCTTCAGGTAGTCACAAGTCTTTAAGAGGGAAAAGAGCTTGAAGGCCACCTAAGATGGTAAGGGGAAAACTATAGTGATACGAATCCAAGGTTACAGCAAAAAGCCTATACTAAAGAAGCAAATGCCAAACTTAAGACATCCTGGATGCTGAACCTTTTAATTCTGCATGGTTGTAACAAAAACAAGTTGTAGAAATATGACTAGCTGGTTTGCCAATATCTGTTTAATTGTGAGCAGTGCATTAGGGATTACAAAACTACCCATCCATTTTCTCTAAACTTGCTGGAAGTTATTCCATGCTACCTAGAAAATGCTGTCACATAACCTAAAAATTATGTCGGTTTTCATAGAAACAGGAAAATTAAGATGAGGTGTCTTTTGGTTACATTTTAATAATAAAATTATAGCTAATGTGACCAAGCTGTGCTACAGTTATGGCATTTCTGAAAATCCAGATATTCAAATATTGGTTTGAATAAGCTTTTACGAAGTTAGCCTTCCTGATGTACAAATAGGTAAAGGCCTATGTTAAAGATAGAAGCAACTGATGCTTTAAGACAACCAGGAAAGGTTTCTTCTGCAAGTCCTTTGCTAAAATAGGTGAGAAAGAAACTAAGCAGACTTCAGTAATTAGCAGTGGAATTCTCTCAGACCTCTTATCCTGTTGCACTAGGAAAGCTCCAATAATTTCAGTGGAGTTACACATGCAGTGACTGCAAGCAAGACAGAAACAGTCTCCAAGGAGCACATGGGCTGTGAACATAACCCAGAACCTTGGTGTCTGTGCAGCCTCAGTCGTACTGTACACACCTCAAACGCCAGGGGCACTCTGTTTATCCTGTCTGTAATGGATGCCCAAAGCAGCACAGCAGTTCAGAGCAGCTGCTGACATGGCAGGCACTGCTGCACCTGCCCCTGAATGAGCTGGGGCAAACCCTAGAGGAGCTGCACTCACTGTGTTTGTGTTCCCTGGCCAGGTGTTGTTGGTGCACATCACCTGCAGGCTGTTAACCTGCTGCTGCTGTTGCACATGGCCCTTTAAATGGCCCTGCTATGCAGCATTCTGGAGTTGATTCTTAAAATGGAAAAAAGTTCTTTCCCCCTCTAAGGAAACTGAATTTCTAATTCAGAGTTGAAAGGCAGCAGACTTCAATGTTTGAGGAAAATCTGTGACTGAAACATCCCATTTTCAGCTGGCATCCAGATTTCTGCTCTCCTAGATGGCTGCACACACGTGCACACACCCACACCTCCTGTCAGATGAGATGAGCCAGCCTTAAATGTTGTATACAAATGTCCCATAGGAGCTCCAGACAAAACACCAGCATATGGAAAGAAATCCATAGAATCTTTCAGCACAGGGTATTAATCACATCAGCATCAATGCAAGGGGGAAGGAAATGCACTGCATTGGATAAGATGTCAGGAGATGACCAGCAGGTATGTAATTACATTGATCCTTTACAATCTGATTAGTAAGTAAAACATAACAGCCTGGCAGTAACAGGGGCATCACTGCTGTCTCCTTTCAGATGCTGCTTGTTGGACACTGCAATGATCCTGTGGCACTGGGATTTAGCAAGAAGGTGAAGTTTCTTTCTTTGCCAGACTGTAAGGTGGGCATCATATGGAAGTAGAATTTGAGTCAAATATGCAGATTCTCACTGCTTTGCATTATACTATCAGGGTGTTGACTTTACTTTTCATTTAGTCTTCCTTTAGTCAGAAAAATTTTGGATACTTCTTGGTATAAAAACTATTTCCATGTAAATACAAAGCTCTGAGCAGAAAAAGATGAGAAATTATCTGCTTGTCAATGCAATTCAGATTACATGGCTGATAACTTCAAAATCAACATAATCTTCAGTCTGTAGCAGATTCCTCAAAGTTGTCCTAATACATACAGTCTAAGAACATCTAGTAAGTATGGAAAAGAATTTAGAGCCAAAGTGAATAAGCAACAGCAACATTAATTGTACACCTGAGCAACTATTTAAAAATTTTTGCATTTAGAGAAGTTTCAAAACTGTTACTCTCTAGACACTGAGAGTAAAAAATAAAATGCTCCTACTGGAGAGAAGTTGAAAGAAAGGGTTATTCTTCTCTAAAGCAATGGCTTATTCTCCTCTCCCTTAGCTATGTGTTTATATGGGAAGGTTTCCCTATCTAGCAGTTATATTCATTTGGATTGGTAATTGTTTTCAAACACATAAGAGAGTGTTGCATTTTATATCTTATGTTCCATTAAAAAGAAATCCTAATTACTGACTCTTTTTAGCTACACTTTTGGTGCGTATTCTAACTTTCATTACTACCTTTCAAGCCAAAAGCAGAACTGAGAAATACTTATTGGTCAGTTTGTTTCCAAAGAATCTGAGGTACATTAAAGTGTATTTTTGGAGGCAGAGAAAGAAGAAGAGCTCAGATGACTGGGAAGCCCTTCCCTGGCAACTTGTAGGGTGCATATTCTGAAGGCTGAAAGCACAGCAAGTGTGTGACTTGTGGGGATGTCTGAAAGGGGAATGAAGGGCCCATGGCACAGAGCCAGGCAAGGAGGGAGCATACAGAAAGTGGCAGAAGGAATTTGCATGGCATTTACTGGATTACTGTAGGAGAGGTGGAGGAGACATTCCATCAGGATGGAAGCAAAGGAAGGGGAAAAGGAAGAGATATCCCTGAAGATGCACAGGCATTTCAGGAAGGAGATTTGCAAGGCCTGCCTGTGTCTCTTGCAGCACTCAGCCCTGGGCAGAGTAGGATCCCTGTCCCAAAATGAGTGTTCACTGTTAATTTCTGTGTGTACTGCCCTCTGAAGCAGAGCTCTGTGCATGTTGTCTTATACCATCTGCATTTTGCTTGAAATACAGAAAGAATGCTCTCAGAAATCTGCCAAGTATAAGAAAAAAATGGGAGTACCAGAGCTGCCCCTCAGAAACCAAAATCTTCACTTAATTCTGCAGTGCATTAATTGGTGATCATGGGACAGCTGTGCATCAGGTGCTGAGGCAAACAGCTTTCTGCCTTGTGCTTTGTGATGCACCTGAGGCAGCTGCTTTTCCATCCTCCTCTGTCCTGCTGCCTGTTTGTTCAGTTCATTTGAGTGTTCCTGGCCTTGAAGCTCATCTGGCTCATGGTGACAGGTGTGCCTTTTACTGTTGAGAACGTGAACTCCTTGTTGGGAAAGCACTGAGGGAAGATGGCAGCTGAGCACCTCATGTTTTAACACGTCAGCCGTATTTAAAATCTGCTACTGTTGCACACAGAGGGGGTCAATTAATGTTCAACAGATATTAAATCTCTGCCTTCTATGTATCTATTTGTGATTGATAAAAAACCCCTGAAATTCCAAACGTAAACAGCAGCTCTTCATTTTTAGCATGCTAAAAAAACACATATTGCTAAAGAATGATGCATTTTTCTGAGTCACATGGTGAAATTACTTCCAGTGATGTTGCACACGGTAATCTGGACTAACTCTGCTGAGCACAACACATTTGTGTGACCAAGTACCATGGCAAGGCAAATGTGTTTTAAGGTATCTTTACAGTTTGCTAGTCTGTTCTTTCTCCATCTCCTCCTTTTAATTAACAATCATTCAGCCCTTGAGTCTAAAAGTGCTCTGAGTTTCCTTTCAGTAGGACATGACCATTTGAGAGCACTGGGGGGCTTTGGGTGGGATTTGGAAGAAACCTTCATCAAAGAAACTGCGCAACTGTGTGATGATGCCAGTCATGAAGTTCCAAAGCACCAAATATTTTCTGAATTCTGCTGAATAGTGATGCATTTTTTCTGTTGTTTCTATTCACATCACTGCTGATTACTAAGATATCTGTGTGTAAACAAAACCTTTCTCATCTATAATTAGCCTTCTCTGACTGATTAAGGAACATGCTTAGAATGAGGATGTGCTTAAATAGAATGCTGCTATTTAAACCCATCTAACTTCATAATCAACCACTAGATACAGAAAAAAATAGTTGATAACTTAAATGCAATAAGATTGCCTAAGTATAACAAAAATGCTCTTAAGATGTTACTTTTCTGCTTCAGCAGATTATAAAATCCTAAAGTACCTGAATTGAAAATTACTTCATTTGGAGCTGTTAAGGTGGAAATTATCTATGCTGACTGGTTTGTGCTCCTGAAGAATGAATTTTTCTGATTATTTGTTACTTCATATTTATAGTTATTGCATTGAATACAGATTCCTTGTTACACAGTCCAGTAGTAGTTGAGAGGGTGCTTTGAAATTGTGTAGCAGCTGCTCTTCAGTTTAACCATTCATTTTTCATTTATGTACAATAATACAGGATTCCTTCTAGGAAAAAAACCATATATATTTCAAAATGTTTTACTTTTTTTGTGTAGTATTCATTTTATATTGCATAAGCTTGCAAGGTTTAGCACATAGAGTAAATCATCACACAGCACTTCAGAGCTTTAATCTCACTTGTGGATCTGATTCATTGTGACACTGAACAATGACAGTGATATGCTGTGTATATTTTTCAGTGAGCATTTACCACAAAATTGCCTCTTTTCTCCCTGTCTAAGTAAATGAGTTTATGTGCTTGAGTTTAAGTATTTAGATTGAACTGTACCAAACAAAAAGTAATATTTTAATTAGGCATCTGGGAAAAGATGTTGTTTCCTTCTTCACCTGTTTTATCCAGTTATCATTAGTTATAGCTCAAGACAGAAGAGGGAACTAAAGTTGCCATAGAAGAAAACAGATAATACCCTTAGGTGTATCTAATATTTGTCTGAATGCCTATTTTTTTGTTAAGCAAACCCATTAAATCAACCATAAATTATTTTGATGAATAACTCAGAATTAGTAAATGCAGGACTGTGAACAGTGACAGTTTTATGGAGCATCTTATGTCTTGTCAAACCAGAGAATAAAAAGATAGGGCAGTATTTATGCAGGAAATGTATCCACGTGCAAAACCAGGGAGTGTTTCTTTTCCAGTTTGCTACATGGGCTTCAGCAGGAAGAATGGTTCTGTCATGGAGTGTTTTAAGAAGTATCTCTATTTGCTGCCTTGATGTTTCTTTATCAAGCAGTCTTTGGCTGTCACTATAAAGCTGCTCTTTGAGTATTTCAGCATGACTTGAAGAACACAGTAAGTCTTGAATTACATTAATTTTTTTCCCTCTTAAAATATTATATTATTTTTTTGTGTCTCTGCATTTTGATCAGGTCAGGCCATTTTATATTAGAAAAAATTTTGGAATATAATTAACTTGTAAGAAAAACTGTACTTTGCCTTTCTGAATGCTTTTCCCACAGTCTATATTCCATGAGGCAAAGGGTATTTTGTTCTTTCTGTATTGTAATAAGGAAATATGGCTCTAATTATAGATATAATGCTGAATGCATATGTAAGTGAATACTGTTCCACCTGCCAAACAAGTAAACACATTTCTTTTTCTCATATAACCATGTCTCTGTAAACTAGATAAGTAATAGGTAATTGGTATTTAGAAGTGATTCCTTAAAGAAGGAAAATGGAGAAATAGTCTTTAGACAGCTACTGTCCAATACTTAGACACACAAACTTCAGTTTCACTGACCTGCAGAATGGACTGGATACAGTAGGAATCATATAACAAATCCCTCCATTTAGACAAAAAGATCCATAACTGGTGCCACAGAGTTCTTCATGATCTTAAAAATAAGACCAAAAGAAACACTGAGAAAAACAGACTTCAAACCAAAAAAACCACAAAAATAAACTACCACCCAAATGAAACCAGCCTATGAGCAAAAAAGGTACAGGTCTTGCCTTCCAGGCCAGCAACACAGAGCACTGTTTTGCTTAACAGTTTCATGTAACAATATGGAGAAAAGATCACAAATTTATCACCATATCAGATGTGAAAGAGATAAATGGGATGAATAAATCAAACTTTCTCTTGCAGTGAGAAATTCTCCATTACTTCCCTTGCCCCTCATGAGCACTCACACAGGGAGTGCAGTGGTTCACACCATGACCCAGGTGAAGTCTGGTTTCTCCTGTTCAGTGGCACAAAGCCCCTTTAGCTGAACTGGCTCCTGCAATAGAGTCAGTCAGTGCAGAGGCACCCAGTGCCAGCTGAGGGCAGGACATTGGGAGCCTGCTCTGGGCTGAAATGGGACCCTGGGACACCCCTGGGCTTCTCCTCCCCAATTCTCAATTTCTCAATGGCCAAACCAGGGCACAGCCTGCAGCACTCACTTATGGACAGGACTGCTGGCTACAATATCCTTTCCACAGATCTCAAAAAGGCTTTTTCCTAACTCAGTAGGCTTCTTAGATGAATTCTTAATGTGTTAAACACAACTAGGCATTCTGATAACACCCCAAACACAGGACACTAATGTTGGCACTTGTAGCAGCACTTGTCCATTTTGTGCTTAAAAAGCACATCTAACTGTTCCACTTCACTCTTCCTGAAAGCAATCTAAATTTGGAAGTTGGACTGAATATATTTATGACACATTTAATGCATCAGTAACTCATTTCATATATATGCATCTAATATTTTTATATATTTCTTCCATCTTATGAAACCACAGTATCTCAATCAAAACAAAAATAGACCAGTCTTCTGACATCACAAGGGTGATAGTCATGTGTTGCCTCACACTTTAGGTGTTCTAGCTGTTATTTCTCTCAGAAGTTCTGAAAACCAGAATTCTGCTGTGTCACTATTTATGTATAGAAGACATGTTCTATACATAACAGAGTTAAGAGGAATCAAGATTTTAGTTTTCTTATTTGTCCTTCAAGAAAAAGAGTTAGAGTTCCCCTTTATTCCTGCAGAAAAATAAAAAGTAAGAAGTGTGGCTGTAAGACATTCTACCCTAGAGAGACCTTCTACAACTTATCTAAAATAAGCCAGGCTTTTCTAAGAGTGGCAGAAATGCTCAGCTACTTCTACTTCTGTGCAAAAAATCATTGTGCATCCTCTATCCTCTAGGCCAGCTCTACCAATTCTACTCTCCCTTCTTCTCCTGCATTCTTTCCTTTCTATGGCAGCATATTGATGCAGAATGTAAGTCCTGACATTACTTTAAGATGAAGACAGTTACACCCCAGGGCCCAAGAGGAATTCAGTTTCATGTTCCTGTTACTGAAGTGCCAGCATCCAAACGGTAACTGGACCTTCTTGCCTGTTTGCAGATAAATTAGGAAGCTGGAGGAGGGGAGAACAAAGGCTGGAAAGATTGTTCATGTTTGACCTTGTTGCACAGAAATATGTGCTCTGTCCTACCTTGTTAGAAGTTAAATGGAAATTTATTTTAACTGTGAACCCTTCTGTGCTTGTCTGCTGGCAATTAATTTACTGCAAGCTCACAATTAAAAGACTTTTAAAATTATTTTGTATGAGTACAATTGCAATAGGAATAAAATGGGAATGGGAGAAAACAAGGAGGTTTTTAAACAAGAACTACACCTTAATTGATTTTCATTCTATTCAAACATAACAGTGGACCTCCTGTGAGAGTTTAATTCAGTTGAAGGCCACATCCTCCCTTAAATCAAGAGACGGCACTGAACACATCAACAGTGTATCAGAATGTCTATACAATTTTAAGAATCAAGTGAGAAAAACAAAACTCCCAACTTTGACCTGCTCTCAACTCTGTTAAGTGTCTGAGGGAGTTAACTGTTGAAATTCTAGCAGACAGAAAAGGAAGATGATAGAAGGTGGGCTCTGCAGAAAAATCCTTTTGAACAGCTCACAGAAAGGTTTCAAAGGAATTCTCATGAGAATTAATGAGAATTTGTTAGCCTCCTTGAAATCCTGCCTCGTTGGTTCTATTTCTTCATCTTTCTGCAGAAATAGACCTGCCTCACCCTGGCACAGGGGCAGAGCACTGAAGAATGCTAAATGCCTCCAGTCATTCATGCCTTGGGACATTGGGAGAATGAACACTGTCAAGGTGTGATCTTTGTATCAAGGACCAGCTCTGCAGCCCAACCAGGCATTTCTGCTCAGGCAAAATACCTCAGGCACTTTCTCTTAGGTCTATTAGAAAAAAGTGAGAGAGGTGGAGAGGGAGAACAAAAAGTGCCCAGGAAGCCTTTGAAACCTTTTTGATTGTAATTACAGACAATTTTTCTATAGGCTATTTCTTTCTAGAAATAGACTTTTCTTCCAATACTAAGGGGAAAATGGCAACCTTAATTCCAGCAGTAATGAGAAACTTGAGGAAATATCTATGTCCACATTGATCAGGTATCCCTTTTTTCCATCCACTTGTGCTTTTCATTAATTCTATTTTGTGTTTTAATACTTTGCTAGTGATCACTAAAACTATCTGAGTAACACAGCACAATGTAGATGTTAGAATTATGAAAGACAATCAAAGAAATTGAGGAAGCTTTAACATGAAGAAAAAGTATTACTAACAAACTGTAATTTGCTACAACACAAAAACAGGTATTATTGTACTCCAAACCTATGATATTGAAATGCAGTAGCTTGCTGCAAATTTCAAAGTCACAGTTCTGTATTTGTAGACAGGAAAGTGTGAAAGCACCAGTTTACCCCTTTAAATCAATAGTCAGTGATGCAAAAGAGTATACTGGAGAATCAGAGGGGGTTCAATACAAGCCAAAACCCAATTACATTAGCATTGGTGAATGTGTTATGATTTTTCATGAGGTAAGTCAATACATTATATTAATCTAAAAATGCAAATTGTATGCTTTGAAAGTCAAATGTATACTACAGTCAGACTCCATAATGAAGATAGAGACAAGAGATGATGGGCAATTAAAAAAATACAAAAGATTTAGCTTTAAAATTAATAGAACTCTATCAATGTATGTTGTACATAACATATAAGTATGTATTTTGATACCACCTTCTATGTGAGAGATTTAAGAGAAGTAGGACACAAAAGCTTCTTCTTTAAAAAATTGGATTTTTGTGGAAGAAGTGAAGAGGAATAAAATGAGGTTGTTTTTTCTAATGCTAGACTGAATACTTAAAACTGACTGAGGTAATAGCAGCCTCTAAATACACTTATGCTTAATTATTCTTTCTGAGGACATGCAGGTGTCCTGGTTTCAGCTGGGATAGAGTTAATTTTCTCCCTAGTAGCTGGTACAGTGCTGTGTCCCTAAACTGTCTTGTCTGTTTGTATTTAAACTTTTGTAACCTGACTGTCCTGACTTTAAAAAATAACCAAATGCAGGCTCAATATCATCTTAACCCCAAAGAGCCAGGCAGCCTTGATAATCTACATGTACACTCAGCTGTCTTGCCTAGTCCAGAGGCTAAAATCCTGGACTGCTAACACAAGAAAGGGAGAGAGAGGAGTGGGAAATGTTGGCAGAAGGTAAAAGGGGGCTGATGCATGCTCACTTGTAAGCAGCTTTACCCTGCACACTAACCAGTCACACACTGAAATACCAATATTGATCACAGCAAACACCTCCTTACAGGATTTGTACCACTGGCTGGTGAACTCTGGTGAGGGATGGCATCTCTGCACAGCAGTTGTGACAGTCCCAGTGGCAGCTATCAAAATCAATGCCACTTCAGTGAATTCTAATGTATAGATGGATGTATCCAAGTAAAGACTTGGCAGAAGTTACCTGTTCGCATATTATTCCCACACCAATTTTTGTTCTTGGTCAGAGGCAACAGCACCTAAAGACAAACATGTAAATTAAGCATATGATTTTTGAACCTGGTGTCTTTTTCCCCTGAAGAAATAGCTATTGGAATGCAACTTTCAGTGCTTATGCTAAGACATCCGTTGCACTCTGTCAGTAATGCACTGTTATATGGAAGTTCCATTAATTCACAGTTAATGGCAAACACTCAAGTCTGCTGTCAAGTTCAGTGAATCCCTGAAGGCAGAATAAAACTAAATTCAGGGTAAAGCATGTTTAAACAATGAATATGTTTTAAAAACTGCCATGCTTATTCAGAATTGTAATACCTGATGCATTTAGGCAGTCTGATTGATTCTGGCTAGCTAATTAGATTGACACTTGCACCTTGAAAGACAGTGCACTCAACTGAACCATTCCTCAGACTGCTAATTAGTCAGGTAAGATCTTGGTGGTAGAACTCTTCCATTCCACAAACAAGAACTTTCTAATTTGTCATTTCTCACAGTCAATATGTGTTTCACTTGAGTGTCCCTCATGTCTGGATGTCAGGTGAAACTGTAATATAAGCTGTGAATTTATCAAACTTGTACAATGATTTTTTACATCTTCAATAGAAACCCTCTGCCTGGACAGAAACCAATGTTCACTTGACATTGCTAAAAGAATCTATTCTGTAGACACGCCAACTCTATCACCATCTATTCTAGCTATACTCTGTTTTCTTGTTATATAGCCAAGATTTACTGTACCAAATAGGTTACTGAACAAGTCTAACATAATAGATCATTTTGTCATGTTTGCTTTCTTTCTTCAGAGTGTATGCAAAGTAAATACTTAAGCAAACTGTCCTATATTGGAAGAAAGGTTTTCTTAAACCATTAAATGATCAAATAAACTATCAGCTTTATGATAAATAGTTGCCTATACCACAGCTTTAACTAACAGCTGGCTTTCTGTAGAGGCCCATTTCAAGAGGTGTAATGCATTTGTACTTACTTTATAAGCAGCTGGTTCTGGTTTTCATGGGACCTCAGGTGGCTTCTCTAGCTTTTTACCTGTCCTGTCCATACAGGACAATGAGAACTGGCAGCTCCCTGTGACACTGGGCTGTACAGCAAGGTCCCCACCCAAAGGTGGCTCACAGCTCCACTTTGCTCTGCGTACAGAAGCAAGAACAATTAACACAGCATGTGGCACTTCAGAACTAAAATCTTTTCAAGAGAAATAAATCAGGAGATTCATTTTTGTAGCAGTCAAGATCTGGATTCTATGTGTGCTGTTTAAAAGGTTTCCAGTTTACACACAGTGCAGTGGGGTGAGGTTACAACAAAGACAAGCACATGTACAGAACAGGGTAACACCCCTCATGCTCACAGGATTACTTACATATTTTTCTAGAGTTACCAGTACTAAAGTTTATTGCTGAATTCAAAATACTCACAAAATGTAGTACATGTAAATAGTATCATACATATATTTTACACTGGCATAAAAAATCTGATTTAAATTTGTGTTTTATGGGAGCAAATAGTCTTTGTTCATTTAGTTTCCCTTTTCACAGAAAGCTCCACAAAATTGTATAATATCCAATAACTCTCATAAAATATAAACAGGATATATAAACTAAATTTCATTACTAGCTCCTGTACTAGATTTAATTAGGATATGAATCCTTGAATTGACAAAACAGCTTGAATTTTGCTACTGCCAAAAGGAGATCTCACATTTTCTCTCCTTCATCTTACAGTCAGTATGTACCTCAGTACCTCTGGTGCTGCTTCTGGTCTAAGTTCAACTTTTTCAGAAGATGCTTAAATCCAATGATCTGGCAGAAAATCCCTTAGGGCAAGCTGATGGTTTTCTCCTGCATCAGTGTGTTAAATGGATGTGCTGTGCAACTCATCAGCTCTTGGGACTAGGACTAATTGTTCCATGTAAAACAAATTGTTTATGAGCTGAGTGTAGAGAGCAAGACAGCTTGAGGAAGGCTGTGGAACTCCTAATAATTTATTTTCAAACTCTGTTGCCTGTGTATTCAAGAAAATAGCGGGTGACAAAGGGAAGGAGTGAAAATACTTCCCCACCAATGTGAAAGCATAACTTTATTTTTTAAACCTGATAATAAGTATCACAATATGGGTCTAAAGATGTTTTTTTAAAAAGGTGCTGCTGACAGCATTCACAGCTTTGACTTTTTTGTTTTTAAGACTGAGAAGTACATCATTAGGTAATGATGTATTTAGATGTTTTTCTCTGAGGTGTTGCACTCTGAACAGAAGTTCAAGTATGTATCAGTGTTTGAAAAGAATAAACTGGACTCTCTATCTCATTAGATAATAAGATGGTATATTTAAAGAAAAGAAAGCACTGCAGCAGAAATTGTTGCTAAATTTGATTGTAACTCACGTCTGTGTGTGCACTGAGTTCATACTAGAAACACAAAGATCATCTGTGCATCTCTCTTGCACTTTCCAAACTGAATCTTCCTCTAGATGCAGATATAGCCTATGCTCACAGAAACTAAAAATCCAATTGTATGAATGCTCAAATGTTTATCTTCCATGTATCTTGGGAGTTTGTTATATGTTACTTTGTACATCCAGTTAAGAGCATTTTAATCTGAAATTTAAAATATAGCCTGTTTTGCTCTGTGCCAGCTTGTTGAAAAATCTTGTCAGTTCTACCCTTTTCCCCTCATCTTTGTCATCTAAACTGATGCTAAGAATAGTAATGCATTGTTTGAAATGCTTGTACGTGAAAGGTAGGTCACCTGTGTATACTGAGATATATTGAAACAAGTCTTGAACTTATTAGATTTGTCTTTAAATGAACCTGTGTGCTTTACTCCCCATCTAGTTAAATCAGAATCTGTATTGCCTCTTGGTTTTGTGTACTTTTACTGGTTAGCTGGCCTTAGCATCCACAGTACCTGTAAATCTTAATGAGCATAGGCAGATAAAATCAAGCACTGAATAATGATTTGGGCTTTGGTTTATGGATCTTTGCTATTCAAACACTCTTAAAATTAATCTCTATATAAATGCTCCCCCAAATTAAAGAAGATGGTTTCAGTCATGTGGCTATTTCAAATACACATTGTTTGTACATTCAGATTAGGTTGCACCTTACATCTGTCTTTGAGAATGGGATTTTACTGCATTATGTATTCTTTCTAAAAATTAAAAACGGTAAAATCTCATTCTGCCCCAATATTGAGCTCAAATATTTGGTCATGAAAACAATGAAGGGGAAAAAATTTAAAAATTGCTTGCTATGCTGATTAAATATAAATTTCCTTCTGAGATGTCCTTGATACCTGTCAAGCAGTCAGTAGTCCACACCTCATACTTTCTCCAAGAGCCAGGAACTGTACTGAAGTCTTGTTAAAAACAGTCTGTTTTTTCTCACCTAGGTACAACTCCTCAGACCTTCAGTGACTGATCTGAGCACAGAAAATCATCAGGCATCAGAAAAGTCCATCAAACTGCCTGAAACTGATGCCTTGTGAAGGCTGGCCTAGAACAGAGGCTCAATGGAGTTAAAGGAATTTTTTAAAAGGCCTCAATGGATCCACCTTGGGCAGCACAAGAGCCCAGCCAGGGCTGCACCCCAGATGAGCCAAAATGGACAACTGGTCACGAGGGCTCTCACTTTTGTAAGTTCTGCTCCATTTGCATATTGGGGTTAATTGTCCAGTTACAGCTCTAGGTTATGGAGTCCCATCCTTCTTGTTTTTCTCTCTTCAGTCCATTTTGTTTATGCTCTTGGGCTTGAGATTTAGGTGGTTGTCCTTGGTCCCAAGCTGGGAAAGGAATTGTTGTCTCCCTACTCTGTGCAGAGAGCTCACCATCCCTTACTACCAAGCTCAGAACTACACACTAGAGCAGTACAGAATCTGAAAAACAGAAAAGCTAAAACCTAAGGCATCAAAACAAATGAGGATCTCTATAAGGAAGAATTCCAGGTGAAATCTTATAACAAATCTGTATAAGAACAATGTTTTATTCAAATTTATACACTGGAAGTTTCTTTTAGCATGGAATAACCACAATATCAAGAAATTCTGACAAAAGACATGAAGCTAAAGCAGATGACAAATAGCTCACAAATCTCAACGTGCTTTGGTTGACAGGGTAATTTTTTTGGACACAGTTCTTCAAAATTCTTTCCATTGCAGTTTTCTGAAATGACAATGAATGGCTGAGTCCTCTTATCTTAGAAATCCCCAAAGCAAATATTTAGGTTTACATTTTCATTTTTATCCACTAAAGTATGTCTAGGATTAATTATATACTAAAACAAGGGTAAAGCTGTCATGGTGTTGAAATTGAAATTTGAGACATTACAGTGAATTTCAGGGAAAACTTCCCATTGCCAAAATTTCCTAAGCAGCTTGCAAACAACTGCAAATTTCCATCTGAAACCCCAGTTCTATTGTATGAGATATTCATACAGACACTGGCAAAGTTGAGGCTTCTGTCCAATGTAACTACTGTAGTCACACAACAGATTTGTCATTTTGAGATAGAGATTCCAGTTTCAAGCCTGTGTGTGCTTATGTGAGGGGAATTATTAAATTTTACAAGACCCCTGCATTCAAAAAAATCACTATCAGTCCTGGAAAACAACCCCCCACCACTATTCTATCATTCTCCGTGCTTACTGATTTCTTCTGTGGCACTTTTGCTTCCAAGTTTCATCCCTAACTCTTGTAAGAAATCAACTGAAATGAATGCAACTTAAAGTTTGTCTCTGCATGGTTAATTTTTATTCATACCTCATTGGCAGATGTAGTGTCCCTCATAATGTCAGGTCTCAAATGTCAATAATCTCGGATCCAGTAATCAGAAATCAAAAATCCATATTACAGGCCAATATACAAGAGACAGTTTAGCACATGGTGACACAATACAATAGACCAGTGCCACTTAAATGATCTTGAGTTACTAGGAATGTATGTCATAAGAGTTTAGATATTCACTGTACATGGCAGCCATCAAGACAAGTGTAACCAGTCTTCACAATAATGACTTTGATTTTTTAAGATTCATCCATCACTAATAGCTGGTTGATGCTAACATCAGCTGTTCCAAAACACATGGGAGATAACTGGCAAAACCTGAATTTCAGTCTCTATTATTTTATCCATTTAAAGCACCTTAAATTAAAGCAATTAAAGCACTAAAGAAGTTCTTAACCTTGGGGCATTTTACTTCTTTTTTTTTTTGGTGCATTTAATTTTGCATTGAGTTAATTTGTTCTACTTAGACCACGGCTTACCACAGCAAACGGGTATTCTTAACTCTGCTGGTGTAATCTTTCTCAGACATGCACAGGACAATCTGCTGAATCAACGTAATCCCTAATCCGCATGCTGGGATGCTGCAGCTGCTCGCTCCGGTGCCGTTATGTAATGCCGGCCTCCAGGCCCGGGGCAGAGCGGGGCG